TTCTCATACCCAATTGTTGGTTTGAAAATGTCTTCCCTACCTAATTTGGTATTGAAATCTAACAAAATTTTCATATGGTACTTCGGGAAGAGCAAGACGTAGGCAGGTGAACAATATTAAAATGGACCTTACAGAGACAGGATGGAATAGTATGGCTTGATTAATCTGGCTCAGGATAGAGGCAAGTGGAGGGCTCTAGTGAACACCGTAATGAATCTTTGGGTTCCACAAATGCTGATAAGTTCTTGAGAAGCTGCACAATTGGCAGCTTCTCAAGAAGGACTCGGTTCAATGAGTGAGTGAGTGAGTGAGTGAGTGAGCATGGAAAATCCTTATAGAGGAATTTTACTAATTTATATTTCATTACATGCTTTTAAGCAAGCTCCGTAAAAGGACACAGTTGCCAATTTGTGTACTACATTAAGGTGTACCCACATCCGAACATGTTTCAACCTATTCACCTAAATGACAGAACAGCCCGCGTTCTCGCTCACTTCTTGCAACTCAGCATACTGTGATGCATATACCCATTGCTAGGCAACGACTCAGTATACACGTTCCAGCGAATTCGTAACAATAGGAGCTGTGTTCTCTGTGGGCCGTGCTATAACTCGTTATGTAACACAATCTCGACAAGAGAAGACGGTGATTTCCATGGGGTCCGAACATAAGCTATATAACGATTCTGTAGTTGGGAGAATTGTTAGAAAAATGGAATTGGGAGTTGTAAGAAAACTCTTGTCGAAGAACGAGAGTCAAGAGAATGGGAATACTATGGCGTACACAGAGAACAGAATGGGAATACAATGGCGTACACAGAGAAGAACAGAATGGGAAGTCAGTTCAGTTGTCGACAGGAGACAGCCACGGGAAGTTAGTAGTAGAAGACGAATTAGAAATCATCCTGTCAAGACTTAAGGTGTGATTAGAAGTTTTAGTCACAGTGATACTGTTTTAATTCCGTTACCAGGATACGACTAGTGAAGACTGAGAATCCTAGTGTGTGTGTGTGTGTGTGTGTGTGTGTATGTAACGGTGAACTGTTCATTGTATAAATCCAGGATAGCGCTGTATTGTTTGTTGAGTACGAGTTGATTGTATAACGTGTTACTAAATCCAATCATCCAAGCCAAACCCCGTCTACAGTCATTCATGCATGTGACAATACCTAATAATACTGAAGTTTCCAATCAATGCCATAGATTGCAGAACACCTTCGGCTGAACAAAGAAACAACTGGACCAAAAGATACTTCCCAGGTCTACACTGTCTGCAGGTATTTCTTCAGTAAATGCACGGCCGGAGAGAAATAACACACACAAATATTCATTCACTTCCAAAAGTTTGTGACGGTATTAATACACATGTCTCTAGAGCTAGGGACCAGCTCTATCGTTTGGGTCCAACTGAGTAGGTTTTATCTTCAAACGGAAAGGGAATCCAGTCTCCGAAACGTGTTCCAAACAAAAACAGGACGATGAATAATGTCCAGGAACATAATATTGATATTCGTTTACTTGTACATGTATTTAATTGAATAAAGCATCCGAACAGAATATCCATTTACGCCTTCTAACTGTAACGACTGTCTATGTTTCATGCTCAAATATCAGTAGCAGGTTCCGACCTCAGGCTCCATAAAAATTCATTCATCTTCTAACGCATGGATGAGGTCGGTTCATCAATTAGTTATTCCCGTCATCCTAGCCAGAAGTCCCAGAAATTCTCTTCCGTTTCAGGTTTAAATTACTCGCTGGTCCAATACAGGGCTTGAGATTTACATACACTGCTTTCTTCGATCCACGCTCGCGTCCGGGAGAGAGGCAATGCTGAAGGAAACCGGAACCTCGTAAAGTCAAAGCGCGACGACACGGGGGTCCTATTTCCAGACCGTGTCCTCAAAAACATGACGGCAATTTCTCATAAAATTGTATGTCCTTTCCTCACCAGAAAGACAATGGAAGATTATTTTTTCACATTCTGAATACAGTCACGGGACACCGAAACTGAACATATGCATCAGCATTAAAAAGATGAAGAACTGGAAACTGAAAACTGCAAGATTAAATTGTACCTCTTGTTTTACAATCATATTTAATAAAACTCACAAGAACTGCAAGCCTTAATACGACATACACTAAAATTATTGTAGTATGTAGACCCGTTGACAAGAGGCGACTCGGTAAACAGAGGTAGTTGCTATGTAATGGACGCAACATACACCTACGCAACAACAGAATAGTTGTGTTTTCTATGTGGCCCGTGCCGGGCAGAAGAAAATTAGTGTGGAGTGGAGCCAGTTGGTTGGTGACTCACTCAGTGTGTTAACGCGCGTCCACATTACTCGTGATCGTGCTCGTGCTCGCCAGGCTTGTGCTCGTCGGGAGGCTCGTCTGGCTTTCACTTGTGCTCGTAAATCTTCGTCCACATTACTTCAGTTGCTCGCCATGCTTCGGCGCGTGAGGATCCCTATATTTACTCGTAGTGTGTATAGGCTGTAGTCGTATTTTAATTTACTGGCTATAGTTTCTAAATTAAAAATTTAAAATTTGCTTGTCTCGTGATTTCATATCGTCCACATTACTCGCGAGTATAGCGAGTCACAGGAGCACGAGTAATGTGAACGCGCCTTAAGATACGGACAAAAATGGGTTAGCCTTCATGAAGATGGTTGTCTTTTCATCACCAGATAAGAGAGGGGCGCGGGTGTTGTGTGGGTCAGCTGGAAAAGAGGAAAACTCGTTAAAGTACGTTCATTTTCACTTAAGGAGTTGTGCAATTACTGCCACAAATTATAGAGTTCGTTAAGAGATTGTGATCTTGAATTCTTAACTGCGGTACGGACTTGCCATAACTCATACTTCAGTGACAATTAAACGTTTTCATGAATGATTCTTCCAAGAGGGAGGGGGGGGTTGTGTAAATTAGCTACTGCAACAGTGAAAATATTTTAATTCCTTTTCGTAAACATCCATCCGGTTTAAGACCACTATAATTCCAACATTTCCTCTCATAGTTTCGTCTCCCATTTCCTGAGTTTGGCATCAGAGGGGAAAAGAAGAAAATTACTCGGAAAAATATGGTCCTCATAATCAAATTTCCAAAGCATTTTATAGATCTAATTGAAGAGATAACAAAAGGAAAAAATTCATTTACTAAATGGACCTTCTTCTTCTTCTTCTTCTTCTTCTTCTTAAAATTCTGGATGTACAGATTAATATTGTCTTGACCTCTGCACTAGTTGGAGGTGAGTGGTCTGCTCCATGCCCCGGCCGCTTTACCCCCGGGGAAGGAGCCCTCGGTACCCATTGGATAGGAGGTTGGATGGACCCCAGAGCTGGTCTGGACGATTTAGAGAAGAGAAAAATTTTACCCTACCGGGACTCGAATTCCGACCTCTCAGTCGTTCAGCCCGTAGCCAGTCGCTATACCGACTACGATACCCCGGCTCCCTATATTCTTCTTCTTCTTATTATTATTATTATTATTATTATTATTATTATTATTATTATTATTATCATTATTATTACNCAAGACTTCTGCATACACAGGACAATAGAAACACAGAAAGAACGTAGATTGCACCCATGCTCCAAGTAGGACTGAACCACGACCTGTGTTCGACTACAATCTTTACTTCGCGCGGCCACTATAAACGGCACTCGACCGGTCTACAATGCCTAAACACTGTGTAGTCTTTCATTGCATCCTTTGATGACACATCTCAAATTCAACGTGGCTCAATGATAAAGAATGTAGAAAAATAGCAAGAGTGTTCACTGCATGTAAACGCAAAAGGAAATGTCACTTAAAACATTCTAGAATTGTATTAATATCTTCTTGACTTTACGAAACTGAGAAGGTAACGAGATAAAATTCAATTCACGTAGAATGGAGCTGTAGAAAAGAGGTGCGTGTTGCTTGCTGCTAGGAGGAGAGATACACAACTTTCACGCCAAAAGTCTGCCTCTCGACGGGCCATAAATTATGCATAGGGAACCGCGCGGCCATAAATAACAGCAGAGCTGCTGCCATGACTATAGTGCCAATTGATGAACACGAGGAATTTTGTAGGTGCATAAGAGCCGTAATTTAATTCACTTTCATCCACGAGAAAGAAATTCCTCTCCTAAACTATCCCTACCATCAGCCTCGTCCTTCGGTCTTATGAGACTTGGAAATTGAAATAAGAGGACTTGCTGATGTTTTGCGAAGGAACTGGCAACACCGGGCGTGTTGGATCACGTCAATATATGATAATTAAGGTCGTTTGTGTCAAATAGTTTTTAGAGTTCGGTTTTGTGGTCTTCGTAAACGGTTCACAGGGGCACAATTTTGTTTGTAGAGAAACGTGAGGAGAAAATAAATTTGAAGAATGCCGTCTTCTGGGATGTGGGGCCATGTTGATCTTGTTTGAACCGACGTTTCTGAGGAAAGTATCGCCTCCATCTTCAGGGTAGAAAATTGCGCGAGCGAGGAACGAACGTGAGCAGGTGGCTGCAGACTGAGCTGGGAATCCACGCTCCCATACGCCTTCATGTCGTAGTGCTTAATTAGTTAAGCACTGCTTATGTTATATAGTGCAGAATGATAGAATTGGTGTTCGTACGATAAACCAAAAGGAATGTGAAAGGATGAGGCAGCTCCACGTTGTCCTAGTATATGGCTGCAGGCAAGGATGAAACCCATAGAACATTTCTCACGGTCCTCGGTACCGAGCTTTCTAATATGAAGCAGGAATCCCAAAAACTCGAATGTGAAGGTTGCCAATTCATAGTACATGCGTCTACTTCAAGACAGTGAACAGGTGGACTCTTCTATCCATCTAGCTGCGTAGACTGGTCCTTCGCGAAGTTGTGGACCAGTTTCCCATATGGAATCGCTTAACGGACTTCGAACCTTTGCTAAGAGTAATGCAGCTACGGATAGCAAACGTTAATGAGCTAGGACTCCATGGACCAGATGTCACATTCCAAACACTTTCTTTGAAATGTACTTACCATAAACAGTAAGCAGCGCGGGCTCACTGACACGCCTGGCCGCCACGTTTTCCGCAACGCATGTGTAGTTGGCGGTGTCCTGAAGGCGCGCCTGGCCCACGAGGAGATGGCCCTCGCTGGATACAATTAGGTTAGTGTCGGTTTCCAAGGGTACGCCGTTCCGTAACCAGTATACGCGAGGGGGAGGCACCCCTGGAGGCGGGTGACATCGCACCTCCGCCTGCCTCTCCAACTCCACCGTCTGTGAGTATGGAGGCGAATCGAACTGTTTCTTCAGGTCTGCAAGGAAGACAACAACAATTTCATAAGAACCTTTGTCCTTGAGAGACCAGACAGGTAAATAAAAGCAGTTTCAACGTATTTATATAAACTCAATCATTTGGTCTGATTATGGCGTGCCAGGTGGGGAAAGGAAGGGAAAGAATGAGAGGGGTAGAAGGAAACGTAGAATTGAAGATATAAAGAAAGAGAACTGGAAAGTGAGAAAAAGAAAATAAGAGAATATGACTGGAAGAAAAGAAACACAAAGTAAAAAAGAAAGATGTAAAGAAGGGAAGAACAGAAAAGGGAAAGGACAAAGAAAACAATGAAAGGATGGAAATAAAGAAAGAATAAATGGAATGAAAGGAAAATGGGACACGTAAAAGGAAGACACGAGAATGCAAAGGGAAGGAAGAGGAGAATATTATTGAGAATCTAATAATATAAAAATGTCCAAGTTGGTAACAGTGATCTATATTCATTTGTTTTTGTTTTGTATTATTATAATAAAAAGTTTCTTCTCATCCAATATGGCTGTTAAGTGATATGTAAGCACGATAAAAAAGAAAATCAACAAATATAAGACATTTTCCAAGAGCTTATTAGAATCGAACTTTTATACCATTAAATAAATCAAGCCCGGATTTCAAAACAAACATGAGAGAGCACCGACGATTTATGTGAAACAAGATTCATAGTCCTCGTTACATCTCGTAAGATTCTTATCTCCCTTGTAACCAGAGTCCTTAGGTTAATGTTGTTTTTACGGTGAAACATCAAACATAACACGCAGCAACTGGTTACACGGGGCGCCACCCTGGCCACTGTGCACGACAACAGGTCGGGGACACGTCTCAATGGTGGATGCAAGTTTTCTTGAAACATTTATCCCTCACACCCATTAGCCGGTAGGTAATTAGAAGCCTCTACAAACGTAACCTCGATTGGATGAATGGTGAATTCATTAAGATGGTCAAAGGTCGTCGCAACTGACTGCCGACCGCCATGCAACACGCTTTCTCTCCTATAAAAACATTCAGGATAACCACACACGGAACCAAGAGAAAATCAACAAAACCGTAAATCAAAGAGATGCATGGGAAGCCATATAATCTAGAATAGACTGAGGCAATTACGAAAGTAGAACGCGGAACATCATCACAGCAGAGCAGCAGATTCCGTCATCACAACTTGTACACCTGCTGATAACCAATCAGGCCAAAACATGTAGTGATATAGAATACGGAGAAGAAGACGAGTGAGTATCAACCGAAGTTGTAGACAGACGGCAAGAAGTGGAATACAAAGTCAGATCTGCACAGTGCAACAGGATGCTGCAAATTAATCGTGTAACCTGTATGGCTAGGCAATTGCGTAAGTGCGCTCAACAATAGGAAGGATGTTTAGAGCTCGTTGCTAGGCAACAGTCAGCGCACCAATGGGCTGGCGAGATGGTTATCACGTGACTGGCTTCCTGTGGAGTCCATGCCGCGACCGTTGCTAAGCAATCGTTCGACACCAAGACTTACTGACTGACTGACTGACTCACCGTCAGTCGCAATGTGACTTTGACTTTGACGGTCTCACCAGTGTTGAGACGGGGTCAAATACCTCCATCGTGACTCTGCGAGTTGTAGTAAGCGACGAAAAGGGAAGTCTCAAATCTGAGACAGTAAAATAGGGTTGCAATTCCCAAGGGACTCGGACCCGAGAAAGACTGAGCTGGCAAGGGTCAGCAGCATATACAAAAGACAGACCCGTCCTCTCGTCAGAGAGGGCGCCCACAAAAAGCAAACCCGTAACTGTCAAACAGTTATAAATATCTGGTCATGAGCCACACTGATTGACCGTCAGTCAAAATGTGACTTTGATTTTGAGTACAGGTCTCAGTTTTAAAGTGACAGTGAAAATGTTCAGTCACAAGCTGGAGGAGCGAATTTAAATCATGAATATAGGAGAGTACAGGAGATTGGCATGAGAAGACAGGGAGTGTGCTACAGTGCAGTGGTATTGGGGGTGTGTGATTTAGTTCCCGTGTTACACATCCGTGAAGACTAGTGCAAATAGTCCAAGAATATTAGTGTGGAGTGCTTTGGAGTGTGAAAATCGATAACAGTGTCATAATTAATTGCAGTTGTGAACTGTAAGTGGTAAATAGAGCCAATTACCAATCTTAACCCCGTCTCCAGTCACCCAAACACGTGACAATATTATGAATGGGTGGAATTTACGGCCGAGTGCTGAGCCGAGCTGTGCTCGTGTGCTAACTGTTTTGGTAAGATGGAAAATGGCTAATGTACCTTCTCCAGGCTTCCAGAAGCCTTTGCCACAATTCAGTCAGGGCAGAGGGCTACAAAACTCAGACGCGTCACACAATATTATATCTGCCTAAAGTTTGGACATGCCTAGGTTAACTGCAAATAATCTCCCCGTTGCTTGTGGCGTGGGGGCAGTCACCTGCACGAGCACTGCCCGGAAAGAAAAGGCAAGGAAACATCTGCACCGGTATGCTGCAACTACAAGCTGGCGGCCGGAGAGAAACGCCATCCGTCCATCTATCAGAGCTATTTTTTGTTACTGCTAGTGGGGTGGGACTAAGTCCCTTGTAATGCGGCCACTTCTGGCCTATTGTACCAGCCCCAGATGATAGGTGAGGGTGATTGTGGAGCAATTGGTGGAATGAAGATTGGCAGGGGAAACCGAAGTACTCGGAGAAAACCTGCCCCAGCGCCACTTTGTCCACCACAAGTCCCATTTGACGAGACCCGGGATCGAACGCGGGCCGCCGAGGTGGGAAGCCAGCGACTAACCGCTTGAGCTATGGTCCGGCCCTCCTATCGGAGCTAAGGCCACGCGAAGGACGAGATGCGAAAGAGGAAATCGCAGAGAGCACCAAATCCATAACCGGAAGGGTGATCTATTCCAATTACACAAACCCATGTCTGTCCGCCGCGGCTGCGCTGCGAAACAACGCGGAGTAACAGCAGTGGAGTCATCCACGCCAGTTTGCAGTGGGAGGGTCAGCCGAAGGGGCTTGGCTCCTTTGCAGCAACAGGAAATAGATCAGTCAGTTCAGGCTACTAATGTAAACAGTTTGTTTAGAGCAGCAACTACAGTACAGCAGATTATGACAGAATTCTAGGGTTCTGTGTCAGAGGAGGCAAAAATAGTGGCCATTACAAAACTGTCTTAAATCTAATGAAGCAGAAAGGGCTCTCGGATTCATCAGTGCCCCAAAGTCATAGCGTTTAATACGAATGAGATTGGGAGGCAGCGCTATGTGCTCACTACGCACCTGCAAGATTTACACATATGTGTGAGCCTGATTTCAGAGACACGTCTGAAATATCGGGAGATGTTATTTACTGCATATTACCATTTTTATCGAACTGACTGCTAGCTAAAATGTAAAGCTATCCCTGTAAAAACTGTGACGGCCCATAGGGTTGTGAGACGTCGAGGCCCCCAAATGTTCTCTAGACAGTCGGCTCACAGATGGCGGTAAGGTTGTCAGCCATATGCAATGGGCACCCTTTACCCCCCCAAGGAATATTTATGGTACTAATTTCTGTTAGAGGCTGAGTCGATCCCAGGGCCATAGTGTGGCTGGAAGGATTATGTTAATTTAAAAAATCCACCTCGTCGGGACTCTAACCCGCGACCTTACGACTTGTAGCATAGTGCCTCAACCAACTACGCTACCGCGTGGCCCATATATTTTTCTCCTCTCAACGTCGTCCAGACCGGTTCTTGGATGCACTGCCTCCTATCCAATGGGTACCGTAGGCTCTTTCCTTGGGGATAAGGCGGCTGAGGCGCGAAGCTGGCAATTCACGTCTAATTAGTGCCGAGGTCAAGAATATGTGGATCTATACTTCCACTCCTCGATACGTCTTCATGGCGTAGTGCTTAATTAGTTAAGCACAGGAAAAACTTTAACTTTTACCTTTATCTATTATTATTATCATCATCATCATCATCATCATCATCATCATCTCTTGTCACAAATTTATTTCCTGGTATTCCTTTTCTTGAACCAGTGATGCACCTCACCACTCAGGCTTCAAGCTTCNCAGTTTCAGGGACTCTGATTTATTCGTATTTTTATAAATGCTTTATGTGACGTAATTAATCACTCCAGCTGTCTTATTTTTGCTGACGACCTTAGAATCTATCGAGCAATTAGTTCACCTAGTGATTGTTTACTTCCAGAGCCACTTATTGATTTTGTACACAAACGGTGTTCGGAAAAATTGTATGAAGTCTAATTTCAGTAAAATTAGAAAAATATCAAAGTTTTGTTTTAGTCAGAAATAAACTCGAATATGCTTAACTCTTACGATTACTGATTCCAAAAACCTGAGCGCATACGAAGATCAGGTGCAGCCCTTTCCCACAATAGATTTTTCAAATGTAAGGAATATCACTATGTTAATTTATTGGAAATATTAAATTTGCTGACACTGCATTACAGGCGACGTCACTGTCTTGCTTTAGCGGCCCTAAATGTTGCTCCTCTGTCCTCGAAACAGTCGGCTTTCGTGTTCCTACTCGGAACATTCCTAACTTCAAAATGTACACTTGCTCTTTTAGTCACTTCCGTTCAGCTACATGTGTTTCAAACGCAAGTTCAGTCTGTAAACTTACAGACATTTTTAGGAACTCATGATTGAGTGTTAAAAACCTAAATTGGTTGATATTTTGTGGTTTCTTTTTGTTTCCTGTTTATTTTGTCCTGTTCTGTCACGATGCTGTTGGTTGTATTCGTGCCGACTCTGCAATTGGGCATTAGCTCTTGTGCTCAGCAAGTAAATAAATACAGAAGTGAATTAGTATAATTATTAATATTATTTGTTATGTACACCTTCAGTGTTCGCCCGTTATAGGCCACGTGCTGCTGCTATTCACTTAAATAAAGGAACTGAATTGAACTGATTTACCGTCATTATTATTGCTGTTCTTATTGTTGGGATTCATGTTGATTGTTTGTGTTTCCTTTTCCTTATTTGTG